TAATTGAAGGGGAAAAGTCAATAACTTATTCTTTTTGGGGGTCCGTTCTGGCAATCAAACTCACAACCTCACACTTGCCTGGCAGGTACTTGTGCTGCTGAGCTAAACCCTCAGCCCGACACCTTATCTTTATTAGGACTTCAGGTTGTGAAACCTCAGCATTAAGAATGTGAAAGGGAGCCAGGTGTGGTGGCTCACGCCTGTAGTCCCAGCACTCAGGAGGCTGAGGCAGGAGGATCTTTGGGAGTTCCAGACCAGTCTGGGCTACACAGTGAGCTCAAGGCCAGCCTGAACTGTATACTGAGACCCTGTCTCAAAAAAAGACCAAAAAAAGGTTGGGGGAGAGGGCCCAGGGGTATAGTTCAGTGGCACAAGTGCTTGACTGGCAAATGTGAGGTCAGGAGTTTGATCCCTGGTACCAAAATCAACAAATAATTAAAAGAACGTGAGAGGTCAGGCATCAGCTTGGAGATGTTTTCCACACGAAGGATTTGTATTCAGAACACGTGAAGAAGCCTCACGGATCAGTAGGGCAGACACAGACCACTAACCGGCTGAGGCAGGAGGATGGCCAGGAGTTCGAGGCCAGCCTGGGCTACTTCTCAAGAAACCAAAAACCAAGATCAAAGTTCTGCGATCATTTTATGAAAACACCTCTGCTTTTCTGTCTCCGTTTACCTGAGTGACACACCTCACTGAAATGTCATGAAACAGAGCAAGAGGGCCATAGAGAGGATCATTTACTGCCTAAAGCCACACAACACTTAGACGAAAAGATGAAGTCCCAGGTGGCCCTGCCCGCGCTGTCCCTGACTCCAGGCCCTGGGCAGCTTGCTGTTTGCCCTCTGTGCCAGCTGGAAAGACCCCACCCCCACTGCACATTTGCTGTGGTAGAGTGAGTGGGCAGCAGAATTCCTTCGGAGGGAGGGTGACAGCTCTTCTGGGAATGAATTCTCCAGGCTCCAAGACCACTCGGGACAGAGTCCCTGAGTAGCAACGTGGAGAGGGACAGAGTGAGTTACCATTTGGGCCCTGGGGTCAGGACTAGGGACCGCACCCCCAGAAGACCCCCAGCCCCCACAGCCTTGGGGCATTAAAGAGGAGGCGGCCTAGGGTCCCATCTGGCTGACAGGTGAGCACCACCGGAAGTGTGGGTGGGTGGCACCCACAGGTCAGAGTCCGGCCCAGGAGGATTCTGGTGCCTGTGGCTGTGCCTGGGGCTCCCAGGAAGCAGCAGGGGCTCAGATGTGTCTCCTGGCCCACCTCGCTTAGCAGATTTCCCTAAGCCCCATCCTGCATGACTCAGGGCTGCCCAGGCCTGGCCCTCTGGCCAGAGAGGGACATGGGACATGTGGGGGGTGTTGGAGGCCAAAGGTCGAGAAGGCTGGAGGACTAGAGGGATGGCCTTGAAGGACAGCCGTTCCCCCAACCCCTGCACACCCGTGTCCCAAGAAGCCGTGGGATTCAGTGCAGGCCCCAGTCCCAGGACTCAGCTGGCCCAGGGCGACAAGAGCAAGCCCCAGCTGCCGGCAGGGACCCTGGGCAGCTTGCAGCAAGTGGGTACTGAAGGCCGGGGAGGCACATGGGGTACAGGCAGTGATCCCCACAATGTGACATCTGTGCCTCCTAAGGCGGGATTGCAGGACTCTGCCACCTTTGATTGGCCCTAACCCCAACCCGAACCCTAACCCAAACCCTAACCCTAACCCTAACCCTAACCCTCACCCTAACCCTAACCCAAACCCTAAACCTAACCAGAAACCTAACCCTAGCGGTATTTGACTCCACTCTGGGACCAGCTTCTCACTCTCTGGATGGTCTCCTTTGAAACATAACCATGTCTTGATGAATTTCAGTTTATCTGCTTCTTTCCCTTTTGTTGCTTATACTTTTGGTACTTATGTAGGGACGTACTGCCAAGTCCAGAGATTTATCCAGAGATAAACCCGAACATTTATTCCCATGTTTTCTTCTAAGAGTTCTACAGGTTTGGCTCTCACACTCATGTCTATTTTGAGTTAATTTTGATATATTATCTGAGGGAGAGGTTGAACTTTTTTGTTTTTTGTTTTTTTGAAATAGGCTGTTGCCAGGTCACTAAATTTTCCAAAGCCAGGTTTGAATTTATAATCCTCCTGCCTCAGCCTCCCAGAGTGCCGGGGTTACAGGCGCGCACCACCACAGCCAGTTCCACTTCATTCTTTGCATGTGGACACTCAGTCCTCCCCCGGATTCTGTGTCTACAAAACTCATGGGACTCCAGCGCCCCAGGAAACGCCAGCTGAGAGAGGCAAACCTGGAGGATCCCAGCCCTCTGCCCCTGGACTCTTCGCCCCAGCTAACCCTGCTACCTGTCAACTTTACTGATCACCGCTCCCCAGCTTCATCTGCACCAAAATATATTTACTATGCTGTTTGCTGAAATAATAAGTTAACGAGTGGGTAAAGGAATTAATAGCACCACACTGTCCCAGATGGAAGGGACCTGGAGCTGGGGTGCATTCCAGGACAGGGGTGTGATAAGAAGGAAGGGGCTTTCTGTGACTCGGGGGGAGGCCCCACTGGCGGGACCTGCTGTCCCTTAGCATCCCCGCCTTGCCTCCTGCCTGGTCACAGTGACCACTCACATTCACAGCGTGCCTCTGCTGGGCCTGGCTCTGGCAGAGCTCTTCTGAAGCAAGCAGGACCAGAGCCCAGAGTCCCTGCCCTGTGTCTGCTCCTGGCAGGGAGCAGGACAGGGAGGCTGCCTGGCAGGGCACATCTGGCTTCAGACCCTCGTGTCCTGCCGGCGGCACCATCCCCTGGCTCCTGCCCAGCTCTCTCTGTCCCTCAGAGCCAGCTCAGGGCACAGGGCGTGGCGGGAGGAAGGGCCCTGGGCCATGGCATTTCCTGACAGCCTTGTTTGCCGGGCGCCCCTCACTTCTGGTTTCTGCTTCCGCCCTGCCCACGGCCTCCATGGCTGAGTCCTTCTCCCTGACACTGTGTGAGCTGAGGCACATCACAGACCCCGGCCGGGTGTTGGTCTCCTCTTCGGGAAGAGGGGACAAGACGACTGGCCTCATAGGCTTGCGGTGTAGACAAAAGGAGACATCCTAGGAAAGGGCCTGGCTCCAGCAGCCTCCCGATGGAACTGGGAGTCCTTTTTCAGGCTGCCCCTCTCTAGCTTCTTCCTCCAGGCAGGTTTCAGGGTGCCCTCTTCCTCCTGACTCCCTGGCCCTGGGCTCTAGCTGCCTCCCATGTCTGGCCTCAGGTTACCCTCAGCAAGCCAGAGTATGCACATGATTATCACCGCTTTGCAAATTAAGCAAGCGAGGATGAGAGGTGAGTTGGGCCCAATGGGTCTTGGGGTGAAGGACCTCCTGTCTGGGGGTGGTGCTGGGCCAAGTGTTTGCACACAGTGAGGTATGTGGGTGTGCAGGAAAGCCACCCAGAGAGGGCCACCTGGAGAGCTACAACAAGGGTGCTGGGAGGGAGGAGAGGCAGAGCTGAGTCCCGTGGGAACTGGGACCCACGGGTGACATCTCAGCAAGTGGCCCAGCCTGGTCACATGGAGGCAGGCCAGCACGGCCCAGTCAATGAGACAGGAAAAGGATGCCAAGAATCTCTCTCTGCTGGTGGTGAGTTTAGGGTGCACTTCCTTGGGGTCCCTGCCCCCTGTCCTTGTTGTGGGGGCTTTGAAAGATTACCAGCTGGCCTGGCCTCTCCACGCAGGTGGCCCTAGGGCTCCCAGCATCCCACCAGCCACTATCTCCTGCCACACTGTCCCTCCAAACATCTACAAAGCCATGTGTGTCTCTCCCAGCCTTCACCTGCATCAGGAGAACCCCCTTACATCGGCCCCAGGTGGTCTCAGATGGCCCCACCCCCTGGGGAACCCCGGGGCTCTGCCAGCCTCTCAGGTCAGTCCCTTGACAGTCTACTCCCTACGTTCCCAGGCCAGCACCTTGGAGCCAAACCCTGGCCAGTCCTGTCCTCCCCAGCATGTGTAGACCCTGGACATCACTGCCGGTTCCTCTGTACCTGGCTCCTCACCCCATCCCCATCTCTATCCACACAGGTGGTGCCCGCCCTGCCTCTGAGCTTCCTCTGTCAGGGACACTGCCCCGAGCCGTTCCACCATATGAAGAAATGGCCTTGACCTACCTCAACTGACTTCTCCAGTCTGGGAGTCCCTGAAATCCAGGTGCCCCAGGTAGCAAGGGCTGAGGTCCTGGGGGAACTGACTCCCCAGAGGTGTCATCAGTAAACCAGAGAAGGGGCACCAGGTGCCCGTGTGGGACCTCTCCCCTGAGCCCCACCAGCCCCACTAAACCTTTCTTCCCCCGAGTCCTTTCCCACCTCCCCCACGCTCAGGGTGCCTGCCTCACCCTACCCTGGAGCCCTAGGGTGCAGCCCTAGTGGTCTGCCCCTCCCTGCCCCGGAGTGGGAGGGTCACCCCCCAGGTAGGGCTCCCTGCACACTAACGGGTCCTTTCAGGGGCATTCCTAGGAGCTGGGTAGGAAAATGGGGGCAGGCGTTGTAAGTGCCCAGCCTTGAGTACCCCAGCCTTGAGTACCCCCTCCATCTACTCCACAATGGTGGCCTCCTTAGTTTTGTTTAAAGTCCGGGGCAGGTTTCTTTTTGTTTTGCTTTGTTTTTTTGAGACAGGTTCTCACTGTGTAGTTCAGGCTGGCCTTGAGTTCACTATGTAGCCCAGGCTGGCTATGAACCCACATCGATCCTCCCGCCTCAGCCTCCTCCTCCCCAGGCAGATTTCAAATGGGCAGCAAATGTCCACACATACACACACACACACACACAGGGTGGGGACAGGGGGTCAGGATACAGGGGAAGACAGGGCGGTGGTGCCCACCTGTGTCCCTCGGGGCCTCACTGTCCCTGAGTAGGCCAGAAGTGAGTCAGTGGGCCAGCGACTCACGTGGCAGAGTTCTGACTCCTTTTCAACCCACTGAGCCAAGAAGCTTTGTCCCAACAGGATCCTGGGGTGGGGGAGGGTGGGGAGCCAGGGCACCTTAAAGAGACAGAGAGCTACAACAAGGGTGCCAGGAGGGAGGAGAGGCAGAGCTGAGTCCCGTGGGAACTGGGACCCACGGGTGACATCTCAGCAAGTGGCCCAGCCTGGTCACACAGAGGCAGGCCAGCACGGCCCAGTGGCCCAGTCAATGAGACAGGAAAAGGATGCCAAGAATCTTTCTCTGCTGGCGGTGAGTTCGGGGTGCAATTCCTTGTAGAATTCCTCATAGCTGGCCCCTGGCTGGCCTCCACCGTGGCCTTGCTTTGGGACTGTGACACATGTGTTTCACAATTGACTTCACCTGGTAGTGTGGGAGAGGAGCTGAATGCCAGGGGCTGTCACTGGGGCTGGGAAACATGAGCGCCATAGCTCCAGTGGGATTCTGGTTCCATTCTGCCGCTTCAAGTAACCAGTGTGTGAGTGTGTGTGTGTGTGTGTGTCTGTGTGTGTGTGTCTGTGTGTGTGTCTGTGTGTGTGTGTCTGTGTGTGTGTACACATGCGGCTGTGACAGGGATTAAACCCAGGAGCTTCCCAATGTGGTACATCCCAGCCCTTTTTTATTGTGAGTCATGGTCTCGATAAGCAGCTAAGTTTCCTGGGCTGGGGCTTGAACTTGTGACCTTTCTGCCTCTGCCTCCCAAAGTGCTAGGATTCTAGGTGTTTGCCACCCTGCCAGGCTGGAGTTTGGCATCTTTGTGTCCAATTTAAAGATGAGGCGACTGAGACTAATTGCAGTGGAAAGATTACTCAAGGTCACAGATCCTTTCGGCTACCATCACACTGCCAGCCCAGGCTGGCAGTTAGGTGCAAGGCCTGGAAGACCCGGTGACTGTGTCTGTGCGTGTGTGTGAGTGTATGTGCATGCAGGTGTGTGTGTGCAGGCTTCTCTGAAACTGTGGAAGCTCATGAAGGATTTCGAAGAACCAGTGGACATTTTCCAAGTGGTCTAAAGGGTAAAGGGCATTCGGGGAGAGTGATGGCTCGCGCAAAGGTCCGAGGGAGGCCCAGACAGGCCCGATTGTTTGCAGAACCGAGCCAGGAATGGGGTGAATGCTGAGACAGAGGCTGGTACTGGGCAGTAGGCTGGGGATGAGGGGACAGAGGAGCTTGGAGTGGGCAGCTGGAGGTGAGGTCCATACTCAAAGCTGGAGACTGGAATGCTGGGTGGCATCATTGGCACAGGGTGACACACAGGGGGCGCTACAAACAGAAGCCTGAGCGCTTCAGCCCCCGGCCTCACTCATTGAGCACTCCAGCCCCGTCCTCGCTCATTGGGCGCTCCAGCCCCTGGCCTCCCTCATTGGGCGCTCCAGACCCAGGCCTCGTTCATTGGACGCTCGCGCCCCACCCCCTCTCTGCAAGCGCGTGGCGGCATCACCCTGAAGACACTTGATGTGTGTTAACGCATCATAGCACAGCATGAAGCCAAAGGTGTAGCTGTGCAGTCTCAGCCCCTGCTGCCTCTGGGAAGGACTCTTTGCCACTGCCAGGTCGGCCCCGGCCGCCCGGGTCCACAGGGAGCGGTCCTTCGCGATGGACACGGTGTCAGCCACTGGGCCCGCGGTCACCGTGTCCCCGGCCGTCCCCAAACTGTGGCAGCCTCTGCAGATGCTGTACACGGGAATCGTAGCCCGGCTGCTGCAGGTGAGGCCGGGAACCAGAACCGGGCTAGGGGCCCGGGTCGCCCGCCTGTGGGAGCTGGGCCGCGGGTCCCCTCGGAAGAGCCTTACCCGACCTGCAGGAGCGCGGTGTGGACGGCAGAGGGGCGGGCTGTCCTGAGGAAGCGGCCTGGGGCGAAGGCAGCGATCACGCGGCCATCTGTGTGTGCAGCCTAAGGGTGCAGCGAATTGAGACACAGCATCCTGGACGAGTGATGCCTGATTTGTGGCGATCATCGTCATGGTGGTTTTGTTTGCAGCCACATAAACCGATGGCTTCTATCATGTATTTACAATGTGTGGGGTGTGTGCATGGGTGCAGTAATAGAAAACAGCTCACCTAAGCATGATCCGGACACATTCTGGCCACGTGTGAGACACCGCGATGAAGAAGGGCCTGTCGCCAACTGGGAAACAGGCTCAACTCACTCCCTAAGTTTAGAGACTCCACATACCCGACAACAACGCGAGCCTGCCTGTATCCCCTTTCCTGCAGTTTCTTCAGGGCACCTGGAAGTTGGTTTACACTACTGAGAGGAGATTGAGAGTGTCTGCGATGATCCTTTGTGATTGCCCTGCCAGTTCTGTTAATGTTTCCGTTATTTGTGCGCTTCCTTTTCAGCTGGTTGCTACATTGTCTAAGGATAGTCAGCCCCGGCCTGACTTTTACGGGCTCCCCTGGAGGTGTGTGTTGGGCACTGCCTGTTTGGGAATCATTTTGTTTGCCATTTTCTTCTGGAGGACTGTTTGTGCTGTGAGTGAATTAACTTGTTCTTTAACTTCTGAATACATCAAGCATTTTATTATCACTGGTCCTTTCAGTTATTAACATAAACAAATAAGTAGTTTTAATTCAAACTAGTTTTCTGAAATAATTTAATGTAATCTTGGTATTGGCAAGCAATTAAGAGCAAGCTAACCATATCCACTTGTTAGTAGAGTTGGGGACTCGTACAGCCATCCTGAAAAGCAGTTTAATAATTCTATATATCACAAGTGTTTAAAATGGGATACAAAACAGGATAAGAAATATACATTGTTTTCATATGGTATGATGATGTCAGGAAACGATCTTAGGGAAATAAATTACATGTTAAGATTTTATACAAAGGTGTTACATGAAATAGTATTTAATAGAGTAATAACTTGGCGAAACCTGAATGATCTGTACTAGGGAATATCATGTTTCATCTTATTTATATCCACAGATCAGAACATTAGGCTGCTGTGTGGATTTCAAAGGCAGGGGGCAAAGAAGGTGTTCACAATTTAATGTGAAGTGGGAAAAGTGGAAACAGACTGTGAGGTGTTGATAAACTGTGTTGTAGGAACATACAGGGCAAGAAATACAGTATGATGGTAGAAAGGTGGAGGCAAGACCAGGCATAGTGGTGCGTGTATTCCTGCAGCCCTGGTGAAAGGGAGGCTGAGGCAGGAGAAGTGCAAGTGTGAGCCCAGCCTGGGCACCTTGGTCACTTACCAAGAGCCTGTCTCCAGAATTAATGGGAAGGCTGAGAATGTAGTTCATTGTGAAGGCCCTGTCCCCGGTACCCAAAACAACCCCACAACAGCACCTTATTAAAGATTCCTGTGAGGACTTCTCGAATCTCACTGAACAGCTTCGTGGATGAAAGAACGCCTGGAAGGGTAAGCAGGAGTGTGTGGGGGTGAAAACGTGCTGCTCCCCTGCTCCTCTCCTTCTGCTCCCCTGCAGCTGCTCCCCAGCAGGGCTCTCAGGCTCAGCCCTGCAGCTTCACACCCTGAACCTGGGCTCACTTCCTCCCACTCCCTGAGGTCAGGAGGCTCTGAGGCGCCACTCCTGATCCTGGAGAGGACACTTGTCGTCCCCCCCAAGCTGGCCACTGCGCTCTGCTGACCTACACTCTTTTTATAGCATTCGGAAGAAGACAGAGTGTGTGTTACAGAGAAGTGCAGTGATCCCTGCTGTGGTGTTTAATTAGTTACAGTTTAGGATTTATGACCCCAGAAGGCACTGGGAGGAAGAACTGGGTCTGTGCTCTTCCTGGAAGCCCTTAGCTGTCATTTCTCTGTGTTCTTCCGGTGTCTTCCCTTCCGCTTAGATTTATTACTGTTTTTGTGGTCTGGGGAAATCAGATGATGAGGGCTATTAGATTATTTCTTAACTGAATCAATAGATCACTTGAAATAGGTTTTCTGAGGTATCTTCCAGTGAGTGAGAGGCGTATCTTAGGGCAAAGGTTATGCTGGTAATCTCGCTCACCAGTCTTCCTTATGGTCACCATTTCTAGACTGCATGCTTGCTGTTCGGGATTGTCAAGTAATTCTGAGTAAGTAAATCAATAATGTGTGTATTATAAAAACAAGCATTTCACTGTTGAAGACAAAGGTTCATCTCATAAGCTTGGTGTTCACTTGGTACGGCACATAAACCTGTGTGTAGCTGTGAAGTAAGACACACTCCTTACTGTTCTCTGTATCAGAGGCTATTTCTAATACATTTTTAATTGTATGGATTTATCCTGAACTAAACAGTTGCTAAATTATCATTTGGTTATGATCCTGACTTGTGTTAGGAACTATGTATTGCTTTTAATCAAATGTTTGACATCAAATGTAATTCTCTCTTTCTCTTCTAGGTTAAGGAGAGAATATACCAAGGTAGATCTCTTCCTGTTGGTGTTTGGGAGGACTTTTAGGCAGGCTAGGAGAGACAGTGACTTTGGTGTCTGATATGACTTACTAACTGCTCCACATTTTACTGTTGCTACTAACCATGGTATAGCGGGGAGGATGATGGTACTGGCTGAGATAGGAGATGTGGGGGCAGGGGAGTGACTGCTTACATGGAGCAGACCGAGCGTGGCTGGACCACACAGGTGTGGAGAGAGGATAGTGTGTCTGTGCTAGGGACACCTCGGCCCCTATAGGTTTATCAGCACAGGAGCACGAGAGACAGCAGTGTGGATCAGTAGCCTGAAGTTGCTGTTTCTCTTTGCAAATGACATTTATTTGAAGTGATTTGTTTTCAGAGAACAAGTGCCTTCTGTGAAGGGAGCCTCTCTAACTCTGTAACATTTTACTGTATCTCCTGCCTTTTCAGTAAATTGCTATCTGGTCAAAAACAAGTGTTACTATAGTTTTCTTAAGGTTTAACAGTGTCCTGTGCACTGTTGCTGTTAGCTGCGGGTCTCTCTGGAAAGGCAGGTAGCTGTGCGAAGCTCTGTCTCTCACGGAGGGAGCCTCACACGAGTCCTTGCTGCTGAGACACTGTGCAGCTCAGTTCCATTTAGTGCTCCTAATACTGGCTTTTTCCTCTTTTTAGTTACTGAACAGCAGATTGCTGAGAAGGTGAAGAATACCACAAAGGACAATGCAGTTGTCCAAAAAGTGTCCAGTTATAAACAGAAGGTAGAACCTGTTTCTCAGCCCCTCCTCTAGCGTGTCTGTGGTGTAGCTCAGTTATTAGGGTATTTTGAAGGCTTACGTTCTGGCTTCATCATTTCCTCTGAGCCCTCCAGGTCTTATGCACCATCATGTATAAAGCGAACGCTCTGCTCGCTTCCTTGGAACAAGGTTTTAGTAGCACAGTGACTTCTGTTACTTAGTTCTGAATGTGTTTTTTACATAGATCGAGGAATCGAAGAAGCTTATTCAGGAGACCAAGGAAAAAAATTCAATTCCCTGTAATCAAACAGTAAAATACAAGGTCAAAGTCCTTCTCTTTTTGGAATTATAGTCTAAAAACAAAAGAAAGCATTAATGCGTATTATTACTTTTAATATCTTTTCTTGTAGGCTGAAATCAAGATGCTTGAAGAAAGCAATAAATTTCTGAGTGATACTGCCAAAACTCTTCGTGTTATATTCACATCTGAGAGGAAATGAAACGTGAAAAATCAGATTTGGTGGGTTCTGTTGCTGCGTGTCACTACAGTTGTATTTTTAGCTATTTCATAAATTAGCTGAACTGTTCCCATGCTGTTACCTCCTTAAGATTAGGAATAACAGAACTGAATATGCCTGTACCCATTTTGTGGGATTTTTAGTACTAACCCAGCAGGACCTTTTTATAGGCACGGGAAGTGGTTTGATCCTGAAACTTGGATAATTTCATAGCTGAGTCCTCCAGAACACACAGAGTCACTAAGAACTGGTCTAGTTGAATAGTCTGTGTAAACTGGTTTTATTTCACAATAAACTCTGTGCCTTTCGAATAGTTTTAAAATCTCCTAAGTGGAAATGTAGTGAGGAGAGTTCTCATGCTTCTCGCCTCCTGTGTGGCCTGGTCCTTTGCTCAGCACAGAGCTGGAAAGTTGCCCATTTTCAGTCCTTTGTGCACCATGCTCTTTGGCAGGAAGTCACGACACACAACCTGCAGTTAACAGAACTGTGGGTTAGGGTCACCCCTTGAGCCAGGATAGTCATAAATATTGAGAAATTCTGCACATTAGATTTTTGTGTTCCCCCAGAAACACTTTTTTTGTATTGTTTTGTTTTGGTTTTGTGTTTTTGACACTGTATTTTGTTATGCAGTTCAGGCTGGCTGTGAACTCACTTTGTATCGTAGGCGGGCCTTAAACTCTCCTCTCCTGCCTCAGCCTCCCAAGTGCTGGGATTACAGGTGTCCACCATACCCAGCATTCTTACCGTTCATACAAGAAAATGCTTAAAGTGATTTTGGAGCTTTTTTTGGGGGGGGGGCAAGGATGGAACTCATGACCCAGTGCTTGGCGGGCAGGCACTTACGCTGCTGAGCTAAATCTCCAGCCCTTTTGGGACTTTTTTGTTTTCATGCCACCAGAAAACCTCTTCATTGTCCGTGGTTTGCTTGAACATTTCTTTATACTATGTTGTGTGTTCACCCTGAACCTTGAGGGTACCATGAAACTCTTGACTTCAGTTTTTTCCCTCAGCTCTTTTTTTTATTTAAAGAAAGACTAAACAAAACAGAAAATGGGTAGAAATAATACATAATTTCAAGGAAAACATAAACAGTAAAAATCATTAGTTGATGATTACAGATTGTCTCCTTACAAATAGTTATTGAAGATACTAAAGTGGAGCTTATAAAGTGGGGCTTCAAACAGTGAGATTGCAATCAGTTCTGTTCAGCTATCCAACAAAAACTTAGAAAATATGGTTATCATCCCTACACACTTAAACATACATGCAGTTATTCATCTCTTCAATTATGCTGAGATTGAATAAACCCAAGCAGGCTAATATCACTCTGAACGAAGAATAATACTATTGCTGGGTTTCACATTATGACACTCCGGGATCGGCACTGGGTATTTTAGTGTCTCTTTTTCTTCAAAGTTTCTGTGCATTTCATCATGTGTCATATGTTCAGTTCTCAGAAACTGTTTATAGATTCTACACGTGTATGAGTCTTAACATGTATTTCTATCCTTTCTATATTACAGGGAGAAACAAAACAAAGCAAGGCAAAACAAAACATATTCGTATAAACCCATGAAACAAAAAAAAATATAAGACTATTGTACAAATCGTTCTACCATAGTTTCTGTGTTGTCTCTTGTTATCTCCAATAGAACTGGCTATATCATCAGACACAGTATGATTGCATATGTCAGTACATAACAGTATTAATGAAAACACAACTTTGTATATAGAATAGAACTTCAAAACTGGCAGTTATCAAACCAGGATGTGTATCATTGAGTCTTGTCATCTTCAGTATAGTTGCCTATACTCTCAGACTTGATACTATCAATCATATCAGTTTTGAATAAAATATTCCCTGCCTCATTTGTGTTATGCTCTTTTTTTGCCATCTGTTGTCTGTTTATCTTCTTCATTCTGTTTTCCGCTCTATTCATTTAGGCCTCTCGGCCACTGTTCCTGGAGTCCTAGTACTTTTCTCTCTCTCTAGAATGCCCTGGAGTATTCTCTGTAGAGTTAGATTGGTGGTTGCAAATTTCCCAAGTTCCTCTTTGTCTTGGAAGCATTTTGTTTCTCCATTAATTTCTAGAGACAGTTTATCGGGGTATATCAATCTGGGGTGGAAGTTACTTTCTTTCAGGGCATGGAATATTTCAGGGCATGGAATATTTCGCTCCAGGCTTTTCTTGACTTGATGGTTTATGTCGAGAAGTCTGCTGTTATTCTGATGGGCCTTCCTCTGTAGGTTATCTGACACCGCTGCATTGACTTGGCCTCAGATAACTTATTGGGTCTCAGCCGGTTCACATGACCCAGGCCTACCTCATTCCACCAATCCGATTTGGGAAGGGGACAACTGACTGAAGTCACTGCTGCCCCTTGTACTTGCCAGTCCTGCCAGGTCGCTGAATGTCATCCGCCAGAGCCCCCCTATTTATGGAATGACTCTACTTCCATCACTCACCACAGGTTGATGTAAGTTCCCCGCCAACTCACCTCTCCTTTCAGCTTGCTGACCCTGCAATTCAATATAACAGCGCCTCCAGTATGTCACTCAGAGGACGCTACCAGGACGAGGACTGGAAGAGGCTGCAGGTGCTCTCAGAAGTGCCTTCGGGGACACTCAGGGACATGGCAGAGCCCCGTCAACCAGCCCTGGAGGGAGCTGAGGCTTCGCTGGCTCTGACCTGGCAGCTGCAAGGCCCATGGGAGGCGCTAGGCCACAGAGCCCTTGCGCGGGAGCCTGCGGTGCCCAGCTCACTGGGCAGGCATCAAGGTGGGGGGGGGGGTGCGGGCGCCAGACTCGAAGGCAAGCTCTGCGCCTGCGCAGGATCAACCAGGCAAGAGCTTCATGGACCTGTGGAGCTGGCAAGGCTGCACCACAGCAGCCTAAGCCAGAGAAGGAGGCAGCTTTCGGTCTCAGGCTATGGAGGGGGAAAACAGGGATGGGGAAAATGGAGCCTACACCCAGCGGCCACGCTCTTCAGTAGCAGCAAGTGGAACCAGCAAGACGCAGAACCATTGAGCTCTGGAGCGGCCCCTGGTGGCCTGGAGGATAGTGGTCAAGAAAATGTGCATACACATTGAGCACTGTGTTGAGGGAAAGGGTGACACCAAGGGCCTCCACCATGCTGAGGCCTGAGGCAGTTGGGAGTGAGGAGGCGGGTGCCAGCTCCCAGGACCCTACTCGAGCACTGCAATTGGGGTGGGCCCGCACACTGCCCAGGGCTAAGAGAAAACCTCAAGCCCGGAGTAGCCGGGCTCTGTACCAGAGCTCAGGGAACCCTGCCCGGGGCAGGTGGCACAGTGTCCCTGAGTCTGGGCCTTGAGGCTCCGGAGAGACTCACCTGAGTCGGCTCTCAGGATGTGGCGGCCTGTGAAGTTAAGGCTTGCAGAGGGCTGCCTTGGGGGGGAGGGCTCTGCCTAGAGGTGGGGAGCACTCACCACTGCTCACAGGGCACGGGGCCAAAGGAGCCTCTCCGACTCAGGGTGCCTGTGAGAACAACGCGCTGGTTACAACTTCTCAGAATTACAGATCCCCCACCTCTGCGGGCGTGTTCTGCCCTCCTTGCTGGTCAGGCACCAGCTTGACAATCACAGGCTCATCTTCATGCATGGCCAGTTTCTGGGTCATCTCCATAAGACTACATGCAGATAAAGAGGGGCTAGGGTGACCATAGCCACTCCGAGCCCGCTGAAAAGTGGGCGCCCCACATTACACCACGCAGCCGCTCACCTGTACCGCAGGCTGGCAGCCTCCCGCTTCTCGGCTGCAAGCAGGCGCTCAGTGTGGCGGGCTTTGACCTGTGGAGACAAAGGGGCCAGCTCAGCACAGAGGCTGAGTGAAGCTGGAGGGGGCGAAGCCAGGAGGCGACTCTTACCCAGTTCTCGTGGGCTTTCTCCTCATGAATAGCAAGCTGCAAGAGAACAAGGCAAGACGCAGGTTGAGGGACTCGGCACCATGGCCGCAGGCCACCGCTGCAGCCCTCCTATGTCTGTGTGGGGAATTAACGCATGCTGTCACCACGCGGCTGTCTATTCTTTACCTGGTTTTTAAATGAGCGCTCTGTTTTCTGTAATTCTTCCTCCATTTCATGAATTCTCTGCCTAAAAATAATACGTAGCAGTTAGAACCAATTAAAATCTGAAACAATCTGACCATGTCTGATCTTTAAAGACCTCATCATACAGAAACATTTCAAAACGTGAGGAGTGCAGTGTGAACAACCTCAGTTTCCTGATTTTTCATTTAATGGCTAGAGATTATGAGTTGATAACTTGTAAATTTCCTTAACTCTCCTTGTAATAACGTTCTCAAAATAATCTGGCTAAGGGTACCTTTCCCATAAAGGTTTTCCCTCAAATTATAGCCACAAGAATGATCCAAAATGCGGCCCCTGGCCTGTCGGGGTACCAAGACTCTGGTGGGTGTGGACATGTGACAGAAGCATGCCACTTTCCTAAAGATGGGCACAGGACACATCTGCAAAACAGCTTCGCTGTTAACAAGCTTCCGTCTTGAGTTAATGCATTAACTCCCACCCCGTGTGAGTTAAATGCATTCCATGCTTGGACTGTTCATATGCTTCTGTGCCCATCTCTTCTAGGTAACAAAGCAACTCAGCCCAGTTCCTCTGCTTGGACGCCACACTCACTTGTAGACTTTGACTTCCTCTGTGGCCAGCACCACCTTCTCATCCGCAGCTGAGAGCTGCTGGTCTCGCTCCTGCAGCTCAAATTCCTCCTCACTCAGGTTCCTAGGAGAAAGGCAGCTGCCAGGGGCGAGCTCGGCCCACAGGCCACTTCCCCACCCAGCAGCAGCCACAGGGTCTCAGGAGGGAGGTGAAGCTCCAGGCTCTGGGCCATTTGCTTGTGTTCTTGTATTCTCTTACCTCTACTTGTAATTCTCTAATCAGCAAACAGAACAAGCTAAGAACACAGCATGTGCTAGGTGCCAGCTGCCTGCGTGGAAGATGAGTGCACCCTGAGGGAAGCCAGGATTGCCCAGCAGAGCTGGCTGGGAAAGGAATTGGTAGAGCCCCCCCCCCCACTCCCATCCTCCATGCTGTCTGGGAAGAGCTGTTCCTCTAGACCTAGGCCATGAATGGGTGGACAGGAGCCTGTGGCCCCAGCCAGAAAGTGACCTGTGGGCCCCAGAGGCCAGTGCTGTCCTCCTTCACCCACACATTGAGGACAATGCATAAGACCCTGAACTGAGCCCTCGACAAATCCCTAGGCTTTAAGAAACAAGCAGTGGAGCTGAGGCTAGAGAGGCAGGGAGCCTGGGTGGAATTGCTAGCTGGATGATGGTAACGGCCGACAGGAAGGAGCAGCCTCGGGTGGTGAAGCCCGCAGCACCCTGAGCCCCAAGGTTCCTCTATGATCACTGCACATCGATGCTGCTAGGCAATCAGCAGTGACAGGAATGGCCAGCATGAGACACTGGGCAAAATCTCTCGGACTCACTTCTGCAGCTCCATCACCTTCTCTTGGTACAGCTCGTTCAGGATCTCCACCTTCTGCTGCAGCATCCTACACTCCTCCTCCAGCCCGGCCTTGGCTGCCTGCAGCGTGCCACAGTCCTCATTCAGCTTCTTGATCTGGTCTGGGAGGTGAGACGTATCACCAAGGGCACCACCAAAGACACGGAACCAGGCTCCCAGCATCCCTGCCTCATCCATGCCGGCACTCAGCCTGACCACCATGTGGTCAGGGACCTACCTTTCAGGTCACAGTTGGCAGACACGGAGGCTCTCAGCTTCACTTGCAGGAGTTTGAGATCCTCCTGAACCGCGGATATTTTGGCTTGGCTCTGAAAATTGTGAGGGAGAGGTACAGGCTTGAAAGTGAGGCACAGTCAGGACTCACGGGCCCCTGGGGGTGTGCTGTGAAGGGACTCACCCCGGAGATATCCATCAGCTGGTGCATGGGAGTCTTCAGCTTAGTCTCCTCACCTACAAAGAGAACAAGTGTGGCTGTTTCTTCCTGTGCCGTTTCTAACACTGTTGTCCTGACTTCCACAAGACTAAACTAATGCTCATCAAACACTGTAAAGAAAAACAATTCACCAACAGAACTGGCACAATGACTTTTATGACAGCTGCACCCTTAGATTTTGTGAGCTCCTGCCAAGAGAGCATGCCACCTGGGCTGTGGCTGAGCAAGCCTAGCTCGGCCACACGATGGTCTAGGGAGAGCCGGCCGGCGTGGGTCCAGACTCACACCCTGAGCACCCTCTGCAGCTGGGGCGGCACCCTGACCACTCTCCTCCTCTCACACCCTGCTGCTCTCCAGCCTCTGTCCTCACAGCCTGGGCTGTGGCTCCCCCATCCCCATAATCTAGGTGAGCCTAGGCTGAGGGCCTGAGAACCGCAGAATAGCAGAGGCCGTGAGTGCGGACCCAAGTGTCATCTGCAGGAAGCTGAGAAAGTTTCTTCTCTGGCTGTCATGGTTTATGTCTGTGGCCCCCCAGGCCTCATGACTTTGCATTGTACATTTGTGATTGGTTCATTGTCTAGTGCTTGGATTGATAGTGGCAGTGCTACATGCACAGAGGGGTGGAGCCAGGGTGTGATGTAATGGCCGGAGGGTGGTGTGTCTTGCTCTTTTGCCAGTTTCAGCCTTGCTGTTTGGAGCCGCCATGAACTGTGGCTATGCCATGCTACCCTGCCTTGGAGCCAACTGAGCATGGACTGAAACCTCCAGAACTGTAAGAAATAAACCTTTCCTTCCTCAACTTTAGGCTTCAGATATTTTGTCTCAGCAATGAGTAAAAAGTAACTAAGACACTGGCACAGAGGCCAACACAAAGGCAAAAGGCTCCAGCGTACACATCCGGTTCTCAAGGGGTGGAAAAGCAGCTTTCCCCGCTTGCCTGCTGCTACTGCACCCCAGTGACCCAGACATAAGTATGAATCATTCAGATGTTGGGAGCCATTGAAGCTGCACCACATGTGCAGGGCCGGGTATGACTGTCCCAAGAACAATGAGCCCCTGGGGCTGCCACGTGAAGAAGCTGCCTCAGCCCAGAGAACACCAAGCCCCAAGACAATCTGAACAGTGGCCTCTAGGACAACAGGGTGTCACGTGACATTAAGTTGCTAAAAGGTATAAATAAACACCCCATCAGTGAGGGACCAGTTCCTTTCTTCCCATCAGGAGGGTAAGGGCTCCACAGGACCCCTGATTTGTCTGTCTGTTTTCTCTCATGGTCATTTACACTAAGAAGCTAAAGAGCTGCATGGGTCGGGGCAAGAGGAAAGTCAGCTGAGAAGCAGCATCCGTGTATGGAATTAAAGAAAAGAAGGCTTAGGAGGCTGAGGTAGAAGATTTGCAGTGGGTTTGAGGCCAGTGTGGGCTACACAGTGAGTTCAAGACCAGCCACTACATAGAGACCTTGTTTAAAATCATAGTAAAGAGAAGACAAAAAAAAAAAAAGGGCTCTTGAAAGGCGGGGGGTTTAGCTCAGTGGCACAAACACCTGCCTGGCGAGTGCAAGGTCATGAGTTTGATCCCTGGTTCAAAAAAAAAAAAAAAAAAGGCCCCTGCCAGCTAATTCACCTGACTCACATCTGCCTGGACCTGGACCCTCAGATTCAGATCCACTCTCAGACTGATTCAGCTATATGATGCAGTTGGTCAGAGCCTAGCAGAGAAGCGAGAGGCAGTTAAAAGCCTCTCCATCCTCACAGTGAGTTTGTTTCCTGAGTGTTCACAAACAGGTTGGGTCGTGCAGGGTAACTTGCACCGATTCTATCATCCTTAGGAGCGAGAGTGGCTTCCAGATGCCTCTGAGACTTCACTAAGGACCTAATTTGCTCGCTGAGTTCAGCATGCAAGTTCTTCCGGTCTTCAGCTTCCTGCTCTAGCTGAAAGTCACATGCAAGGGTCCTGTGGACTGGGGACTCCACAGAGACACAGGACCATGCAAGTGGGATGGGGAAGCAGGAGTCGTGTCCCTCCGTGCTCCATCGCAGAGGCTGAGACTTGGTTCAGGACCATGGAGTGTGGCTTCCACCCTGAGCTGTCAAGGAAGCTGACCCCATCCATCAAGTCCATCTGAAAAATGCCTGCTGACTCACATGCCTGACTTCCAGATGGCACACGTGGGCATGTATTGCTGGGGCTTAACAAATTCCCACTGGCATGAACCACTGCAGGGCATGCAGGACTGTCCATACCACCTAATGGGACTATCCTGTGTGTCCCCCTAGCAGGGGGACGTGTGTGTCCCATTCAAATGGGAGCTTGCCGGCAGCTAGCCATGGGAATTCTGGCCTCATTGTGGGTGTGTTGAACCGGGATCCCTTATCTAACCTTCCGAAGGCCAGTGTGAGGCAGTAACTATCAGAGGAGGCTTAGCAAAGCCATCCACTATGTTTTAGGTAAAATTGGGATTCAATGTGTTCTAGGGAAAAAAATCAGCTTAAAGAGCTGAGGGAGATCCTGGAGCAAAGATGGCAGATAGATAGCAACTGGCTACAGAAGCTCCCTGAGATAGTCAACTTAGAATTCAACATAATACAGAGTGGGGAGCCCCAAACAGAGGGAGATGAATTCTCTCATCCCAAGAAGAAATTAAGGTGACTTGCCAACCATCTGAGGTCCTGCTGTGACTGGCTGATGCTGTGACTTGCTGTGGTCAAGCCACGCCCTGCCAGGGTCTCACCATGACTTACTGGGGTCCCGCCAAGCCCTGCTGGGTCCTGCCGCACCTTGTCGGGTCCCTGCCATGGCTTACCGGGCCTCCGCCCCACCTTGCCGGGTCCCCAGCATGACTTCCCAGGTCCCCACCATGCCTTGCTGGGGTTTCACCGCCACTGGCTCAGGTCCTGCCATGAAGTGCCAAGCCGTCGGAGTTCCCGCCGCTTCGCCATACTGGAGGTGCTGTTATATTGGGTCAGCCAGCTGAAAGGAGAGCTGAGTTGACGAGGAACCTCCATCGACCTGTGGTGAGTGACGGGAGTGGAGCCATTCCATAAATAGGGGGTTGTGGTGGATGACATTCTGGGACCTGGCAGGACTGGCAAGTACAAGGGGCAGCAGTGACTTCGGTCAATTGTTCCCTGACAGGAGATGAAAGTGAGACAGGCTGGAAAGGAATTGGAATGGCGATCTGATAAGTGGGCGAGGGGGAGCACCCAGAGCCTCTCCTGCGCCGGCACTAAGGGGAGATGGGGGGGGCTGCCAGGCTGCAGGCTGAGACCCTCACCTGCCTCGGGGTCCTTGGTGATCTTTGAGAGCAACTGCTGGCTGAGAAGGCAGGTGGGAGCCACCGAAGAGCATGCTGAAGGCCGAGGACAGATGTCCACGTGTCCCTAAGTGGGGCATGCGTGTGCCAGGCACTGTGGCCCATGGGGACAGACGCACGGGACAGGTAGGCCCTCTGTCCTGAGCAGGCTCTCTGGAGAAAGGCCCGTCTTCCCTTTGGGTTTCACACCTCCCGCCCGTGGGATACACCCCCAGAGTCCTGGGCTGGGCCCCAACATGTCTTCCTCCTCCCTGGTCATCTTTTGCCAAAGCTACCCTGGTCCCTGCCTCTGCCACTAGATTCCCCACCAGCTCTTTGTGGGCACGAGGCAAGCAGGGCTCCTGAGAACTCTCGCTGCTTCCTTGACATCCACCCAGACCAAGTGCTCAGCCCTCGGGCGTGGAATCTTGAGCTCCCCAGGGTGATTAGGGCTCTCTGAGCCCCGTGTCCCTAACTGATGTGACATCTTCCCAACGAAGCACACTTTTGCCCTACTCTAAGGCCTCT